GTCGAACTCCCCCAGCGGCTCCAGCAGGTCCGCCCGCAGCCCGGGGCCGCGCAGGTAGGCCAGCAGGACATCCGCCGCGGCCCCAAGCCCGCGCAACGGGGGGGCCGACGCCATCAAGATCGTCGGTTACGGTGTTAGTGTGTTGTCCCGGGCCCGCGGGCCTTCCCTCGCATCCTTCCTCGTCCCCGCGCGTCCGGCCGCCTTGGGTCGGGATCGGGGGGTCGGGAGATGGGCGCGACGAGGCAGCTGTCGATCCCTTTATCTAGAGAGAGAGAGATCCCTATATATATAGCTATATAACTATATAGATATATCGGTATATCAATATATATATTTTGGGGGTACGCGGGAGGGATTGGATGGGCGCGGAGTTCGCGCTCACTGCGATCGAGCTGTCGGTTGGGGATCACCAAGTGCGGTCACAACCCGCGCACGCCGTTTATCGGTTTCGAAATGAGGGAGATACGCCGCTTGCCACTTTAATTCAAAGCTAAACTTTACGGTGTGGGAAATACAGTAATAAGAACAATGGTAAAAGCGAAGAATGTTGGGTCGTAAAAATAGAGAAACATAAGAGGAAGGGAGGGGGGGGGGACAATACTACCATACCGTATAAATAGAGAGTCCTTATTGCGGGAATCCAGAAAGAGCGAAAAAGGGTCGTTCAAAGCGACGTCTGGTTTGATAATTTGGGGATGTATTCCTGTTGAATACGCCGAAGCCACTTCGCCACAAATTCTTCGTCTCGTTCGTTGTGATTATGCGGAACTTCAGCGATGAGTTTTGGGTTCCGCTCGTTTTTGAATTCCCCCTGGCGAAACTTCAGCCATCTTAACAGGAACAACATGTACTGAACCACCTCATGGGCGGTTTGCGCGTTGGAGAAGGGGCCATTGTCGTGATTTTCATTGGGGTTTGGACGATGATCGGTGAAATTCCCGCAATGGGAGAGAATAATCTCGCAAGAACGTAGCGTGAGTGCAGGAACGTAGCGATGACGGGAGTGAAGCCGCGAAGAAGACGAGGAGGAAGAACCTTTCCACTGCTTTTTCGGTACTGAAATGGATGGCGCGTCCTCCGTGGTCACTTCCCCTTCTTTTTCTTTGTCCTCTTCACCGCCTTCCGGATTGTTTTGAATCCAACGCCACGCCTCGTTCATGAGCTTGGATTCTCGTTTTTGTATGTGATAAAAAACCCGCCGAAGCTCGCCGCTTTCGCCCCATTGATGAAGCAAATCGACAAATAAATTGACGGTGGGCCGACGCCACAGTGCGGGTCGATACTGCGGGAGAACAAGCCGCGATAACACCGCACAGCCCCCGCTGATGCTGCTCGATGAGCCTTTTAGGGAGTTTTTTTTCTCTAAATTTATTCCATTTCCCACACATTTATTGTTGTGGATATATTTTGCTATTTCTCCCACCTCATCGGAATCATTGTGGGCCGAACTCGAGAGAAGGAGGCTTGAAGAGCGGTTCGGACTGGCGAAACTCCCCTCGCAGGCTTCTTTCAAGATCACATACCACAACATTTGAAGGGAATTTTTGGCAGTCGCGTCCGATTTTTTTTTGGTATTGCGTTGAACACACGCGGTGGGAGAGCCATCCGCAAGAAGAAGTAGAGTTTGGAGACATTCAATCGCCTCGAGGGTGTGGAGATGCCAATTAGACGATTCGATACTCGTTCTTTCCCTTTCCACCGCGCGAAGTTCGCGGAGGGATTCCAGCATATCAAATGCAATCCACACCGCAAAGGGAATTGTTTGGTAATGGAAAAGCCGTGGGTTGAGCTTTACGTTGACATTGAGGTGAACCGTGCAGGGCGAGAGAAGAAGCGATCCTTTTTCCGTAGTTGAAAAAACTTCGTCCAACATGGTGTTTATTTCCGATAGCGCGTGAATATACTCTTGTGGGTGCCTCAAGTTTCGATCCGCGGCGTTTTCGCGCAGCCACGTGCAGACGGCGTACGTCGTCGCCGCCTCTTTAGGTCCCAGACTTTCCCGCGGATTATCCAAACCATAGGCGTCGTGGAGGGTCTCCGCCTCCTCCTCCGATAGCAAAGCGCACACGAACGAATCCAAGCGCGCCTTTTCTTCCCAAATTGCGGCCTTCTCGTCCTCCGTCTCGCCGCGAGGAGGGGAATTCGACGGAATGTCGGCGGAGAATCCGCCCTCGCGGCGGCGGTGATGGCGATCGTGCGCGAGTTTGCGCCGTAGTTTCGAAGCCGCCTGGACAAACGCGTCGCCCCCGCTGGGCGGCAAAAGGAGCTGCCAAAACAACATCAACCCCTCCGTCGCCTTTGGCGTGGGTAAAACCCGCGCAACACCAAATCGCGCCATCCCCAGCACTTCCACGGGAAGAAAAGGGGAACTCGGGGGCCGACAAGGGCTTTTATGCGGCTTTTGGCCGTTCGAACTCGACGGATTCCACCGCTCCCCGTCCGAGGATCCCAACAACCACGCGAGAATGGGAAATGCGGCCGCGTCGCTGCTGGGATGGGCTTTAACCGGAGTAATCGCCGCCGCGAGGACTGTCCACTCCCGCAATCCTTCCAACAAAAGAAGCGCCCTGTCGTTGGCGTCGTTTATGCGGCCCGGCGCCGCAGTTTCGTTCGCATCCGCCACGCTATCCACCAAAAGCGTCTGAAAGAAAAGCTCCATTATTTGGCAACTTTCACAACTTTGTTTCACGGGGTCTTTTTCTTTTTTTTCCTCATTTCCTGCGCGCTGCCGTAGGATGTGATATCGTAAGAGCAGTTGGTAGGCGTGGGAATAGTGAATTCCCCTCTTTTTATTTTTCTTCCTCGCATTTTCCCCTTCTCCAAGGCTCTTTATCGCCTTTTTTTCGTCTTCGTTATTATTAGTAGTAGTATTATTTAGGTGAAGTTCTCGCCGGAGCTGATAGGCGGCGTTGAAGATGGCGAGTGGGCAGGAAAGACCATCCCCCGCGCACGCCGCCCACAACTCCGCGGAAAGCCGCGTCGCTTCTTCCGCCGTTATTAATTCCCCCGACGACGCCGACGATGAAAAGGAGGATAAAGAAGGAAGTGGAGAAGTCGTTAACGAAGCAGCGGCCTCGTCTTTGCGGCCATCCAACGTGCGAAACAAACGCGCAAGGTAGGCCGCCTCGCTTGAGGTTAAACACGGCGTGTTGGGGTTGGCGAGGGTTGAGCCCCAGCGCCGCTGCTCGTGAGGTTTGTCCATCCACAAGACCTGTCGGGGATGTTGAAAAAAAGTAGCCTTTGAGGAGATATTAGTTGAAAAAGGACTCGATAAAATCAAAAAAGAGTGCTGGAAACGATCCGCTCCCGCATTTTTCGGAAAACGTGCGAGCCTTTTCATAGTATCGGTATGTTCGGTGGGATTGTTATTGCATATGGATGATATGGATTGCCCTTTGCTTCTTCAGATTCATATCACTAATTATGTGGTGAAAAAAAAAGGAAGAACCACTCGATTGCACGTCTAATACCAATCGATTCATCTTAAAAAGAGAAAAGGGAACAATATTGCCATAGTGGAGAACAGTACCCAAGTCAATAACCAATCTCAGAGATAACGTCTTACGTTAAACTTCCTCTTAGGCAATTCCCCGAGCAAGGGTAGGATGAATATATGGATTACCAATAAAGCACACACTCCTCATTCAGTGATTAAATCTCAATAAATAGTTAACATCACTCGCCTCTCATGAGCATATTCACACAAGCAAGTGTATACCTTTCTCTCTATACTCTTTTTTCCCCGAGTGCATTGATTATTTCTCCCTTAGAATCTCTTCTTCTTCCTGAATTTTACTTATCTTTTTCTTTTATACTTTTTCGAACTATTTGGCGACCCCATTCTTCTCCTTGGTTCGCCGCTGGACGACGTCGTAGTTGTACACGCGCGAGGTATTCACCTCCAGCGTGGTTTGCTGCTCCTGAAGCCACGTCAAATCCTCCTGCGTCTTGCGCAGATTCTCGCGGGCGCTTTTTAAATTCCGCTCGAGCAGCTCGCGGGCCTCGTCGAAGGAGTACTCCACCATCACATTCGCGCCGAGCCAAAGATGCACCGTCCGTTGGGGGGGGACATGGGCCTGGCAGAAAACGCTCTCCGTCAGGCCGTAGTTGGTGTAGAACCCCTCGTTGGGGTCCCCCTGGGGGGGGTGCGCCGCCGGCGAACTCTCCTCCACGTCGAGGCGGTCTTTTAAAAAGGCGATCGTTTTGAGGGTTTTTTGGATATCCGGGACTTTGGACTCCAAATTCGCCACCGTCCGAATCAGGCGATGCTCGGCGAGTTTGTACTTGCTGTACTGCTCGCGGAGCCTTTTGAGGAGAGTCTCGACGGAGTCCCCGCTCGATTTGACGAGCTCCGCCGTGTTGTCGATGAACGCCACGCGGGGAATCCCCCGCGGGTTGACGTAGTCGTTCTTGAAGGTATACTTGTCGATTAACTCACTCGACATCGGGATGGAATTGGAAATCGGAATAAACCTGTAAAAATAATTAAAAAAAGCCAACCCCCTATAATACAAGTCTAAAATGGGGTGGGTTTGGGGTTTTCTACGCGGTTATTAAAACACCGAATTCTAAGCTTAGACACGGAGGGTTTGGAAGGGCAGGAAACGAAATACGGTGGGATGTTGCTAAACACCCACAACAAAACAAGAAAAAAGATAAACAACCGAGCCCATAAACATCAATGAAGTGCTATAAAAAAGGAAGTCCATGTTTAGTTGTCAAGATTGATGCATTAGGATAACTTTAAGCAAACCCCAGCCTGAAAGGCCACCTAGGGTTAATTTCCATCGCGTAAAACTTTCGCCCTCCCCAAACGACACCCCGGCGCGCATCCCACGTCATTCTAACCCCCCTCCAACCCCACTTTAAACCCCCCAATTCAACGCTCCAACACGGGAAGCAGCAAAAAGGGCTTAATGTCCCTTTCGTACTGCGCGGACTGCAAAAACCCCGACGGGGGCGGGGCGAGGTAGAGGGCGAGCTCCCCTCGGTAGGCCTCCTGGAGGAGCGCGATGGCGGCGCGGTGGACATCCGGCGCGCCCTTTCCCTTCTTGACGAAAAACCCCCGCTTGAGGGCGTAGGCCTCGCAGAGTTCGTGCGCGCTCCACCCCGCCGCCCCGGGCGACCCGCGCAGGCCGCGCAGCCGCTCGATCGGGAGGTGCGCGGCGAGGTAAGCGACGCCGCTTTGGGGGTCGCGGGTCTGGGCGATGGGGTGGGTCCCCAGCACCGCCTGCAGGGCGCGCGGGACCCCCCACACCGGCGCCACCACCCCTGGGGAATCCACCAAAATAATCCCCCGCGTTTCCGCCAGTTCGGGGCGTGGA